CCCCATATAAGACTTTCCCGTTGATTGTGTGGTGAGGAAATGACTATTAGGATCATGTGGAGCGACGTGCATGGCACGCTAGCTAGCTTATCTAAGCCGCAATCAGATTAATCTATACCAAACTTTAGTGCATCTTCGATGGGATATGAACGTATCGGCTATGTCAAGCCAATTAAGCTAAGGGGTCTTTGTCCCATAACTTAAAACTCTCAAAGTCAGCATTTCACATCCACCACAATTGTACTCCTCATAAACTTTTTATCTTTTTTGGAGGTCCAAATTAGAAATTCTCATTTTTATTTAAGAAATAATTTTTTACTCTTAGAAGGCAATTTACTCATCGTTACAATTATCATGAATGAACTCATTCCATTATACAGAGTGCTTTATACCCATCAAATTACTTCTCAAAATACACTATAATAACCTTATTTAATTATTGTATAAACCATCGTGTCAATGAGAAGTTTAAACTGCAACCAAATTACGTAAGCAATGTTGTTTATGAAAAGCATCCTAACCTTTTATCTCCTATATATATAGAGCTGTTTGTTTCCCTCATCTCTGTCATTTACATCATTTACTTTGTTATTTGTCAACATCTTTTACCGCGAATGGAAGTTTTTATTGCAACATGTCAACAACTATTGCGGTCAAAAGTAACAGCTTTGTTTTTTGTCAACATTTCTTGCCGTGTGTAATAGGTTTCCCCCAACCATCAACCTCGTCAACAGTATGTGTTTTGTTTTTGCCAACTCACCTATACAGCTAATTCAAATATTTACATTTGAGAATATAAATCTAGAAAAATACTTGTTGTACATAAAATGTGTGCACTCGTCTGTCGTTCGCATACAAGTTGTTTGTCACACATAGCTTAATATGAGTTGGTTGTGACAGACAACTTATCTGCGAAGGACAAATAAGTGTACACATTTTGAGTACACGTAGCAAAACTCATAAATTTATTCTACTCTCCCATTTTCATTACAGTTCATTTGATAACTAATGATGGGCAAGTCGTTTGATATTCTATTATTGGTCATTTGTTTGAGTGGAATTACGCAAGACATTTCGAAAAAGTGCATCAGATCCGGTTTAATGCAACGTGCATCAGATAAGGACTATTGTGCATCAGATCGCAATATATATATATATATATATAGAAAAGATCCTGTCCAGACGTCCGGACAGGAGCCGCCGTCCGGCCGGCGGCGTTTGGCCGCCTTCCCGGTGGAATTTTTTGATGAAATTTTTATGGCATGTTCTCCATCAAGTCTAGTTTATCCACAAAAAAATTCAGCCAAAAACTCAATCGGGAAGGTCGTCAAATGATTTTTGCAAGTTAACTGGTCCGGAATATGTATTTTCCGGACCAGTTAACTTGCAAAAATCATTTGACGACCTTCCCGATTGAGTTTTTGGCTGAATTTTTTTGTGGATAAACTAGACTTGACTAGGAACATGCCATAAAAATTTCATCAAAAAATTCCACCGGGAAGGCGGCCAAACGCCGCCGGCCGGACGGCGGCTCCTGTCCGGACGTCTGGACAGGAGCATTCCTCTATATATATATATATATATATATATATATATACCATGGCGGATCCAGAAATTTGGAGTTATGAGGTCCCTACATTCATAAGTATTATGAGGTCCGTACCGAAGAACCGTCCCGAACCGCTCCAGAACCGATAGAACTGGAAAAATGTAAAACTGTACTGTACCGTACCGAGCTTTTTTAATAATATGGTACGGTACCGGTTCTTAGTGAGAACCGTCCCGGAACCGTATTGTCCCGAACCGTCCCGGAACCGTATTGTCCCGAACCGTCCCGTACCGTCCCGAATTGTCCCGAAAACTAGTGTTAGATTATAATAGTATATTATACATAATATATTACCGAGTATAAATAATAGTGACCATATGTCCCGAAAATTAGTGTTATAATATAATAATACTACGTATATTATATATACTCCCTCCGTCCCAGAGAGAAGTTCCCACTTTCCTTTTTTGGTAGTCCCAACAAAAAGTTCCCATTTCCCTAAATGGAAAGGTATCCTACATCAAAACAGTGTCAAACAGTGCAAAATAGTGCCAAACAGTGTCGAAACAGTGCCAAACAGTGTCGAAATAGTGCCAAACGGAGAAATTTACCTCTCAGTAACTTTATTTCCTTAATATGTGTGAAAGTCAACCCGGGAACTTCTCCCTGGGACGGAGGGAGTAACATATTACCGAGTATAAAAGTCAGGGATCGTATGTCCATATATTACAAATATGCAATCTTGCATATTCTTTGGGCGTAATCCAATTATTAAGATTTGATAGCACCAAAAGTTAGCTTTAAAACAAAAACAATACTAAATGATATAAACAATGCTATGTAAATAGGGTTAATTATATTTCATGGTGGTTAATTATTTACGAACCAAATAACACCGAAGAACCGTACCGAACCGTACCGCACCGTGCTGAAAATTGGTACGGAACGGGACATGTTCCATATATATGCAGGACGGTACCGGTTCTTGATTTTTAAAAGAACCGTACTTTGGGACGGGACAGGTTTTTTGAAATAACCGTCTCGTACCGTTCCATGCTCACCCCTACCTACAATAATACACGAATGTAACTCAATTAATGTAACATTAAACAGATAACAAGATAACATGGTAAACAAAATGCATCCGAAATAAAATGATCACCACCAAATTCCCACTCATTCTTAAACAAATAAATGGTAAACAAAATGCAGCAGTTTTGACAATACTGTATTTCAACCATTTATGCTCATCAAAACAACTTGAAACAAAACTACGTCTTTTACCGCCAATTACTTTAAAAGAGAAATCATGACCCTGGGGTGAAACGACCCTCTTTGAAGGTAATTGTGGCATACATCGTTTTGAACATTATGATGAAAATCAACAACTTTTTCCCAATACAAGATCAGTTTCTAAAGATTCAAAATCAACATGTTGATTATTTAGATTAATTATAAGCCAAATCAGCTTCACTTTCAACAATTACTTGATCCAATTCTTTATTTATTAATGGTAAATCATTTGACTTAACATTTGAACTACTCTTGATACTCCGAATTTATTTACATCTTGGTACACTGTCGAAATATCTTTTCATCCTAAATCATATAATCATATAATATTGAAAAAACATTCATAAATACATAAAGAAAATTCTCTAAATAGGACTAAAACATGGATAGAGTTAATAAATAGGACCACCGTCAGTATGTTGTTCGCAAAACAAGATTCATTCACTCCTAATTTGTGAGGTTTTAATAAAGTGTTCTTTTAATAGGATTATATAAGTCTTATTTGAGCATTAAAACATACTTAGTCATATTTTTAATCCTTATATATGTTTTCATCCTATATCCAGCAGTTTCTATTTAATAACTTAACATTAACATTTAAATAAATTTTAATAATTAATCCCAAAAAATGAATTATGCATAGTGTACTTGGGTAAACAATTAAACTTGGTAAAAACAATAAAAGTAAAAAATGAAGTTACGCATAGGATACATAATGAAACATGGAGAAAACAATAAAAGTAGAAATACAAGTAGGGTCCGGGAACCGGCCCGGCCCGGGAACCGGGTACCGGTTCCGGGTCTAGGCCCGGTTTGGGGGGGGGGGGGTAACTGGGGCGGGTACGGGTCTAGGGAATATGGAACCGGCCCGGCCGGTTCCGGGCCCGGTTCGGGCTTTATTGTTTTTAATATATATATATATTTTTTAACTTTTCGGGTTGGGCTGGGTATTTTGGGCCATTTCGGCTGGTTTTGGGGGGTGGGGGTGAGGGGGGGGTGGGGGTGGCCCGAGGCCCAGCCTAACTCGGACCCGCTGGCAACCCGGGCCAGTCCTGGGCCTTCCCCCAATCCATGCCTAAATACAAGTATGAAAGTTTAAAACACAAGGGAATCGATTTATCGATCCAGGGATGGCCTATATATATATATATATATATATATATATATATATATATATATATATATATATATATATATATATATATATATATATAGAATAGAGATCAAATACAAAGCCTTCTTAATTTACAAAGTACAAACTCATCTTGACCGTCCGATGAGTTGATCCAAAGGACATAAAGGCAAGGTGGCATTTTTGTAATAAAACCCAACTTTTTAGGGTGCAACTCGTTGCACCTTAATGTGCAACTGTTATTTTTATGACTTTATAATGTGCAATACTTTGAACATCAATATGCAATGTAAATAACGTCAAGGTGTATCGTACAAATATTTGCACAATAAGCACACTTTGTACTTGATCTTTCCCCTATATATATACGGAGTATATATATATATAAATATATATATATATATATATATATATATATATATATATATAAGAAATCACAATCGCATAATTGCATAATCCACTGGAAAGGAAACATGGGAAGGAAAATAAAGGAGTGAGATCAACACACTATGCACATGGTGAGTGGATCTCACGGTCTAATTTGAGCATAATCACATTGATCAATTCCAACCGGACAGACCCTGGACCAATTTTGGGAGAATCGATATATGTATTATGGATTGCCAAGTCTCAATAGATTATCTCACCATAATTTTGACCGAAGCTCAATAATTTCAATATGTATATCATACATGCTGATTTACCGTGCACATCATACATCCAAACAATGAAGTATATATTTCACATTTTCACTAATACAAATCTATGATCTTCTATATTCAAATGAGTGTTGTACGAAATGAAAAGTTGGCAAAAAAATGGCCACTTCAAAATGAACAATCTTTAGGCACAAAACAAAAACGTTAAAACAAAGTTGCCATACATCAGTATATATCTTATAATTTTCCCTGTAATCCGCAATCTTACAAAGTTGCTGCACATTTTTTTTAAATTGTGGCCATACTTATCACAGATAGGAGTTTATTTTAAGATTATGAGTAAATGTATGCAGCAGATAAATTACAATGGAGTATAATAGCCTTTATAATCTCTTACTCACAAGCCGATACATGGATTATGGGTGCTTAATTTGAATAGGAATTCAACTCACGTTTATAGGACAATCAAATAAGAGAATATTTTAAACACACTAGTATGATTGTCTCTCAAGTCTAAACACACTTGTGGATTTTAACAAGACTGTTAATGGAGGATTTACCATTTCAAAAAAGCATAAAAAACATCACTTTCATTTGCAACCAATTGTAACAGTTTGCACTATTTGCAAACAACGATCATCATTGCATAATCACTATAAAATGTTATAAAAGCACTTAGAACCCTCACTATGGGCATAATAGAAACCAAAGGGATCGCAGCCAGAATCTTTATACCTCTAACGACTCTAAGGCACTACACATTACTGGCTAGTCCGGAATAGGAACTGGTTGGTATCGACCCTTCAAGATATTCAGCAACTTGAACCCAGCTTTACGCATGAAAAAATAAGACCAGCAAGCCCTGGTTGGAAAAAAGTTTGCAATTTTAGAACCAATGCAAGATAACCTATCACAAAATTACCTCGCACGGGAACTAAACCATAAATTAAAATGTACTCGCATAGAAAATCTCCCAACTTAATATGTTTCTCTAGAAAAATTGGTAACAAGAGATAGTTTACAACTTCAAATTAGTTATCACCCTCTAAGTTCACGAAGCAGGTTCAACATGTCCTCGAGCCTTCCCAAAGATGGATCTGCATTTTAGGTTCCACAAAAAAATAAAATCAACAAGCTTATAGTTCCAGTGAAGTAAGAAAGTAATGAAGGTTCAAAACGTACCACATACAAAGTATATCTCTCGTTTACCTCCTCTTATAACTTTGGCACAGTTTTAAGACAGTCATGACTCGGTTAATATTTGTTCATATGCGAGAAATTGCAGAATTATTTCTTTAAAAATAAAGTGCAGATAGTTAAAACTAAAAAAGGGTGCAACACTTTTTATTAAAAGGGTTGTTTGGTAATTTAACATAAATTTCCCAGACCAAAAAAAGTTGGTTGTTTGAATTTCATTATCACTAGATTAATAACAAAATTAATTTGTCTTTTTGGGGAGGCCTTATTTGGATTTGGTTAATCCAAATAAGGCATCTCTCAAAAAAGACACCATATATACATACAGAGATGAAACATATACAAATTTAGTTAAAGCATTTTGCTTTAAATGTTTAACCACAAGAAACCATATACATACAAACATTGACTAGTATAAGAAGCATATTTTAACATGTCAAATACAAAACTACAAATAATCTGTTGAAAGATAACCAACAGTGAAAATATTAGTGTAGATTGAACAACCAACTTACCCGCATGTTGAACACTGAGGCTGATGCTTGCAGAAAATGGACAAACAAACAGAGCATATGTAACCCATGTCAATCGTGTTCTTGTGGCAAAAACACCTGAATTTGGTTTGGCAATTTTGACTAATAAATTACAAGCTTTAATGAAAGAAATCAACTAAAGAAATTGTTATAAATAATTTACAATATTGAAATAAAAATTTAGTGGATGGGAATTAGAATTGCATAGCTTGAAGAAATGAATGTGGAAAAATATATAATCTACTTCATGTTTAATTTTTTTTCTGTTTACAAACTCAGATGACTACACAAATACCATAATATGGCCGAAAGCCATCATGCCATTTCATGTACCATTTTTTTATTATTGAAATTCATGTTGTTAGCAACTTACGAAGCACGAAAGTCAACCCCCATAGGCCGAGGAAGATGTAGAAAGGCACGAGAATGCAAATCAGTAGCAAAAACTGTCTGCATGTTTCAAACAAATTAGTAATTAGACTTTTAAAAAAGAGTAATTCCTGAAAACATAACAAGTGGACATTCTGAGGAGACATCCTAGTGGCACATTGATGGCGTGATAAACACATGTCCAACTTTCATCATCCATTTAGTGTGTTGCATAGCAATGTTACCCTTGAAAGTCAAAATTTGATGTGTCCCAAACATACTCTTCCAAAAATAATTTTACAAAAACTGCATAATATTAAGGAAACTTATAAAACAACTCGGACATCCTTACTAACTTGTAAATCAAGCGTTTTTTATTTCAAAAACTCATTATAAGAGGAATTGACATGAGCGAATGCAAAAGATTGATGAAAAAGTAAGGACTTCACGCAAGCTGCCCAACACAACGTCATAACGATAATAAGGTGTGTCAGGAGAGTCACAGAAACACCTACATGAGATGAGAAATTTAAAATCAATAATAGACATTCGGGAACCAAGAAGAGAACTTTACCGAAAGGTATTGAAACAGTCCATCCAATAATTGGGGCTTCAAATATACACCATTAGTTATGTATGAAGCCTGTTAGTATTAACCAATATGTATCATCATGAATAGTGTGGCCACCAATTAAATTCCACCAGAAGATGATGTTACATTAATGAGTATGTCAATTTATATATAGAATAAACTTCATATCAGGCCACAGGAATCCCGTCAGACCAACTTTGGTTTTGGCAAAAATTGAAGTTTATAATCCATTTTTTTGTTTATTAGTATCAATTAGTAGTTTCAAACATTATATCATAAAAAATTTTAAAATCTTCTGAGCATAAATTTGATTTTTATGATGAATTAATAAATTAATATTAATCATTAGGTAAATGTTAGAAACTTAGAGGTGAAAAAGTGAGCTTGATGGGTCTACATTTGAACCAAACTAAGATCAAACAGTTAAAACTAATAATTGATACTAATGAACAAAAAAATAGATCCTAAACTTCACTTTTGACCAAAATCAAAGTTGGTCTGATAGATTCTCATCAGAGCGACCTGATATGAAAAGCTACTCATGTAGGGGCAGGTAAAAAGTAGTGCTTCATTGGAAAGTGAGAATAAACCTTGGCTTTTAATTTTTTGAAAAAGGATGGATTAGATGAATTTTTAATCAAATGACACAGAAGCAAAATGCAAATGTTCATAATACAAAGTGGATAGTTTATAAATAAAAGTGCACTCATGAATGCTAAAAAAAGATTATCATATTTTCAAACTTAAGCATATTTAAATTTATATTCTTATGCACTTTTGTTCACATCAATGTCAAAGATTAGTTCTTATTTTTTTATTTTATACATGTATATTCTGATATACTTTTTTTACAATATATTCATTTAAATTGCTTGGTAATTACTAAAATGTCACTACGATTTTTACTAAAATGCTTTAAAATCATATCTCCCCACCCATTTGTTCACATCAATGTTCAAGATTAGTTCTTATTTTTTTCACCCAGAAAGCACTTTTTTTAACCAAAGTTATATATATAGACACACACACACATATACATATATAAAACAAAAAGAATCAGTCCATCCGGATGGACAGGAGGGGCCGTCCGGCCGCCGCTTGGGGCAGTTCCCAGTAGAAGTTTTTGATGATTTTTTTTAGAATGATCCTCATCAAGTCTAGTTTATCCACACAAAATTTCAGCTAAAATACCATATATAATACGCAGTTATTTTTTTGAAAATAACTGCGTTTATATGCATATTTTTGTGCAGTCATCTTGAATAAATTATTTGACTGTCTTCCCGATCGAATTTTTAGCTGAATTTTTGTGTGGACAAACTAGACTTGATGAGGAACATGCTAAAAAAAATTCATCAAAAAACTCACTGGAAACCACCCCAAATGATGGAGGCCAGATGGAGGGTCCTGTCCCTCCGGCTAGACAGGATCATTCCTCTCTCTCTCTCTCTATATATATATATTCAAGTATTAGTGTTCTAGTATTCATTCTTGTGAGGACAAATAATAGTCTTCACTTCATCTATATATAATACCTGCTGCAAGAAAGCGGAATGCTGGGTCCCTATGGCACATGAATCAATTGGTACCTGCAAGAGAGTTTTTTCATATCATGCTACTGAAAGTAGATTTTGCCCTTGCCCCACGGCCCCCGCCCCACTGCCCACCCCAACCACCAGTCCATTACCACCACAAGAGACCTCGCTTCACTTGGAAGTACCAGTATCCCAATTAAATTAATTACTAGTATAATTTATTTCAAATTAGTTTCATGAAAAATTCAACATACCAAATACCAAATGGCAAGCTCAAAATAAGCTTTCTTTACACAGTTCAAATTTGATTTTTACATTTTTGTTAAAAATAATTAAATATTAAGTGTTACATTTGTCTTTAAGTCTCATTACCCATACACACATACAGTGATATTACTGATATACACATACCTGATACATATATACAGCATGTGTGTATACAGGGAGATTTTTTTAGTTAAATTATGTGTACATATTAGGAGCACCCCCTCAAGAATGCTTCTTGTTTGCCACTGCCTACTCTATCACTACTTTTCTCTCTTATCTGATTAAGTACCAATTAAAGATTATATTCTACCTACATCCTGATCAAGTGTGCAACCTACAATGAACTTCAAATCCGGACAAGAGTACCGAAGAACAACCCCCTTCATAAAATCTCTTTAAGCTTTAAGGTAATGAAAGAGAAACCAAGTTACCATTGAGCGCTGAGCAGAGAATATTGAATTCATGATGGCCACATATCTGGCAGAGATAAAAACTTTTTAAGTATAGAAGCAAGAATAGGGCTAGTGTTTACTCGACAAAATACCACAAGACACATACTGTCCTGGTCCATCTGGGGATCCATGGATGCATAGTATCTGCCGTCAATGAAGCTTGCAGTTCAGAAGCACTAGAAATTATAATATACAATTGAAAAAGGATAGAAAAAACACCAGAAGAAGAACCTAACATGAAGGGGCCTTTGTCATTATGGTTTTAAAGAATGAAAAACTGAACTTCGAACTGATAACTGAAGTCAATTTTGCTCATGTTATGTTCAGTTACTTTCGGTCGGGTTTTGTGGGTTTTGGGTCTTTTTAGGTTTAGCTGGTTCATGAATCGGTTTCACTTTGGGATTCTTTTGTTCAATCTTACTATGTATACCTTTTCATCATAGGGAAATAACTGCACTATGCATAACCATATTTGTTGACAAAGTGATAAGACAACATGAGAGCAAAATACCCAGCTTTCATATGTTTGAAACTACAAATACTATATACATAGGCAACATATATAAGGCTAGTTGCATAAGGTTTGTGTTTAAAATGTATGTGGGGACACTGTTTTATACTACTACTATTTAGTAAGCTGCAGAAGCCAGTAAAAATAACACAAAAAATTGTAGAGCATGTAATAAGTTTGCAACTACTAGTCCATAACACAGGTTAACGTAATAGGTGGTTGGCTGGGTCGATATTAAAGTGCGGAAAAAAAAAACGAAAAATAACATTAGTTGTCTTGATTGAATCCTTTTCTGTTAATCTTTAACAGTTTTGGTTAATTTTGGTCAATTTTAAAGCCTAAAACATTAACTACAAACCAAAGTACTCATACTTATCTCAGTTTTGGCCGGTATAAGTTGCTTCAGTTTCAACTAATTTTGGCGTGACAGGATATTTTCAGCTCTATAATGCAACTAAAAATCCTCTCCCTCAAGTTCATTTTCATTCTTTTGGCTTGGTACTTAGTAGTGGTTGTCTGTGGGTAGACCGTAGATACTTGACTAAAGATTAAACAAGAAACACCTTTCATAAAGGGATACATCTGCACGACGACTGCACCATTTCAGCATACCAAAAGAGCCTTGCAAATTACTTTCATTTGGCCAGAAATCAGCATTTAAGTCAATGAAAACTCACCCTGGGCTGAGGATGGAGTGGCCCTGCACGAAGCACCCTTTGTATATCTACACAACACCGCTCAAGTCCAACAACTAAAAAACACATTCTGGATACGAGGGCATACTTGAAAGTGCAATGTAGAGAACAAATAGTAAAAAATTATCATTTCTCACATTAAGGACTCTGCACCATTTATATATTAATAAAAAACAGATCACATTTATTGAAGTACTTAGTGAGTACGCAATAAGAGCATAAGATTATTACACTACACACATGTGTGCATCTTTTATCAGTTTATGGAAACAAAGTTATAATAACATTTGGTGAGTAAGCATTGACTGCAAAAGATTAATACAATATGTGTGTATGTGTGCAAGTTAATAATTATTGAATTTAAAAATGGATACAACAGAGAGCCATTGAAAGTGATCCAGAGAGAAGCGAAGATTGAACCACGTCAACTGAATCTTCCTGACTCAATGACTCATCTTTTTCCACAAACTCTTCCAATTTCTCCAACATGCATTCTGCCCTTTGGTTTGAGGGGTCAGAGGAATCAAATATATAGTCACAAGAATTGTACCCAGTGGCTATGACTACTACTTGATTCAGCTTGTTCAGTAATAGTATTGAATTCAAAAATGGGATGACCTACAAAAGAATTCCGCAAAAGTGAAAAAGGGGGAAAATACTTATGTGTGTGAAAATGTATTTGCAAAAGAAGAGGAAACAATTTTAAACTTTCAATGTTATATGGTTACATGAGATAGGAGCTTTGAAAAAGTAAAAGAGCCACTATTCTTCATCGAGCTCCAGAAGAACGGGTTGGTGTCAATCAGCACCATCACTAAGCTTACATCATCTGGCAATTTCCAAGAATTGACAAGATATCATTCAAGAGAGTATATTTTGGTATTAGCATTCTTATAGCTAAAAGCACAATAGAATATTAAGACAATTTTTCTATGAGAAGGCCAGTCCCTATGATGGTGTGACCCATCACTTTAAGACTAAGAGCCCATTTTGTAATCCACATTTTCAGCTTGTAAGCCATACCAGCCAACTTTTTTACCAAACGCGTAAATTTTGATTTCATGTGTTGAATTGTATAATAATAAAAACAAATAAGGTTCAACTTACTTTTCTAACTGAATTGACCGAAGCTATTGTAAAAGACCATTTTATCTATTTCCATACATTTTTTCTTTATTTTATTAATAAAATGTGTGGTATATTTTAGATATAATTATTCCAAAATTCAACAAATTCAGCCGCTTCGGCCAGAATTTCATCAATTAAGCCAATTCAGCCAATTGTAGTGCTACCACACGGGCCCAAATAGCTTTTACAAGTTATGAATTGTCTTATACGATAGAATATGCCTAATATTTATTACCAATATTGTCTAGAGTAATTGAATTAACTCATTTTCCAGTTCACAAAAAATGCTCAAAATACTCTAATTTCAGTCCATAGTTTTTTAGTCGAGATGGATAACTCTCGTGAACTGAGCTCTGTCGACCGCCTTCTAAGGTTTTGATAGTTTCATTGCATGTGTGAAAAAAAGGGGAAATATACAAGAAAACCTGTGTATAGCTTTGATGATACTGGGAAATCAATAATAAATTACAATTAAATAATTCCTAGTTCAAATTACAACTAAATATGTCTTGAAAAGTGATTTTTCAAAGCAAACAGTATTATGTATTAAATTATGCATTATTTATGCCCTTGCCAAGATAATGGAGTGAATAGTAATCCATGAAAAGAAACAATTCATTCCTCAATGAGTCATTTGGCATCTCCAATGCACCTCCCCAACCTGTAGTTATGGGCTTATGGCTCCAGTACCATCAAAGCTATATACAGGTCTCCTTGTATATCGTTTTTTACACATCCAATGCAAGTATAAAAAATTATACAAAGGTACTGTCCATTCCAAGAGTCCAGATTGAAATTGGATTTTAAAGGCCGATAGTAGCAGGCTAGCAGCGGGAACCGATTCAGCCTAAGTATGGTTCAAGTTCTACATATATGCTACTGGAACAGGCAGTTCTGGTCCGGTCCTGGTTCAACGTTTTTTATATGTTATGAATGTTGAATATATTATTTAATTATTAATAATAAAATGTACGGAGTAAATATTTTAATATGATATATATGAGGTTTCAGTTGAATTACTAAAATATTCATAGTATACTTTACATATTCAGGGTATATAATAAATGTACTTATAATTATGTATATTAAAATATTAATATGTTTGTGACATGTTTATATATACATACTATCGTATATCATATGTTTTCATAACAATAAAGCTAAAACAATTAAACTTAAATTTAATGGCTCGTCTGTTACATGATAAGAGGGAAGCTATAATACTGATAAAGATAAGATATATTCTAGGCAGTTGAGCACTAGTCAGTATAAATAAGTTAAAAAATTAAATGTAAAAGCTGCTGTTTAAAGCAACATCTCATGAACAATTAAACGGAAAAGAAGCAAAACAGGCTGCAGCAGTTAATCAAAAACTAAGCAAAGAGAAGAACAAAGGCGAAATCTTTGAAACACGAAATCCGAAAGGCCCAAGTCTTATTTCTGAAATTCTAACAGCGAATAATATTATATTACATATACGAATGGTAATAATGAACATGAACATCTTTAGAATGAACCAGTGCATTAGAGGGAGGGGTTAACCGTCATTTCGGCGTTTGAAGGAAAAACGGTCCATCTGAAAGTCAAAGTTTTTGGTTCCGAGATGGACATCAGCGGCGAACATCGTCTGAGTGTCGTCCTCCTTTGCTGAAATCACTCTACGATGCTGCTGCGCCGCAGTAGCCTTCCTGCTTTGAGGCTTGTTTGGTTTATGATTTTGGAGCTAGATGGAGGAAGGATAGATTTTGGGAAATTTTGAGTTTGGCATCCTACTTAATTTAATTTAAAGATAAAAATAATTTAAATATTCGTATGTGAGGTAATAAGGACATCAAAAGTTATAAAAAGTTATATAAAAAGTTATATTAGCATTACATATTTTTCACAAATATAATTTTATGGTGTTATGTACATAATATAAAAACACAAAACTTATATGAGTATGCAATTAAAATTAAATTAAACCGGATGTTAATTGAAATTTTACAAATGAAATTTCATACTGTTAATTGAATTCTAACAAAGCATTAATTATTTAAATTATTTAATTATTCCAATAAATTCGTATGTGTAAAAACATATAATCATAGTGCGAAAATAACTTTTTATATAAAACTCAGGTTACATATGCAACTTTGGGGTATTTAAATTGTTCCCACCTAATTTAAACAATTTGACTTTGCACCATGGTTTGAAAACAATTCATATATGCACCGTACTCTGTTATAACCCTGTTAACGAGTGTTATCAGTCGTTGGGAAAAACTCTATTACTCTAATCTAAAGAACATACGCAATATTATGTATTCATGTTCCTTCATCGTTCTCGCCATTTCTAACCAGCGTGAAGTAGTGAAATAGTGTTTCTTGAAAGATAGATAAATAGAGCTCTCGAAGTAGCCGATAGAATGAAATATATCTTTTTCTCATAGCATGTGAAGAGATGGCTTTAGATTCAGAAGCACCTGCACCAACACCCACTGATACGATGCAGAGTGCATCAAAGAGGCTGTCGGTCATCATCATTTCATTTTCATTTACCCCAGTGCCGCAAAGGCTCCCACCTACGGTGGGGTAAGGGGAGTCGGATGAAGAGAAAAATTAACTCTTTACCCGATGCAAGTAAGATTTTTGATATTTTGTTACTGTTTTTAATGTAAGGAGAGGTGAACTATAACATAACCAACCATTTCAGCCCAACTGGTTGTGAGGTTACCGAGCCTAGTGGGAGGTCTCGGGTTCGAAACCCGCTAAGCGCATAAGAGTCGAAACTCAATGAAGTGAGTTTCAGCTCTTGGATAAAAAAAAGGTAAACTATAACACAATAAGAACTCTCGGTTAAGCTAACAACATTGTGATTGTTCACACTCTTCGATTGGGCAAATGTGATTGTTGAGATGTGTTATTTGATTCTACGGTTTTTGAGAAACACTGTTTTGACTGAATTTGGTTCACTAGATTTGAGACACATGTGATATAGATTAATATTATGATTTGAAAAAAAAAAACATAACAAGAACTCTAGTTTGGAACAATCAAGCACTTCTGGTACAAATTGCAACAAACAGAAAATTTAATTCATTATTTCGTTTGCGCTCATCGGTTATGGAGATTCTCTTATTAGAGATATTAAGTGTATAAAAATTAAATTTTGGATGTGTCAATTTCAGCCAAGGCATAATTTGAAGAAATTGATGAAACTCTTAATAATGATTAAGTTGGTGATATATACGTTGAACTATCGCCATTGAACCACTCTGTAAATGTAGAAAACTTTCATGATTCATTGCAGCTTTACCAAGGCATATTAAAATGTGGTATAAATTTTTTTGAAAGGAAATGCCGTATACTTATAGTTTGTATTTGATTGTGTTGATTTATTAATGACAAAACAATTTTCTAAGATGATTATTGTGAATCAAGCTTGTCTTATGTCTTGTTTTTAATTAGTTTTATTTTTACTTTTTATGGTATATGTTTAATTGTAATAAGTAGCCTAGAAATGGAACATGGTCAGTTATGCTTTGGCCCATATTCCTAGGTTAGGCCTTATTAGGCAACTTGTACACCCGTGTCTATAAATATGCGCATAGGGTGTACAGGGCCGAAGAATACTCGCATAACTTTCACGCTCATCATTCTGTAAGGGAGAGTTTCTTGATATAATAGAAAAGGAGTTCATTGTTCAATACATTTGCCCATATCATTATCTAAATTTCTTCTTTTCTATTTATGGATGAAGTTCATTTTGTAGCTGATCCTTTATCACCATCATTTGGGACCAACAACTGGTATCAAAGCCGATCGAGTGAAGATCATCTATGAAGAACTGCAAAGAAATGCTCGGTTTTATTTTTTTCGATATTTATGCATTTTAGCTCGCGTAATCTTGTTTTTTATCGAATCATTATAAAAGATATACTGTTGAAAATCGCCTCTTCGAACTGATCAAACAATATATTCTTATTTTCGATTCCTGCATTTTTTCGAATTTTGATTTCACGATATCATAGTATCGAAAAAACTGATTTCTCAAGCTTTTGGGAGGTTTTTCGAGTTGAAATCATTACAGGTCATTTCTCAACAAACAGGTTTTCGCAGCTGGAGTTTTCGATCTGCAGAATTCAGAATTTTCTAAGTACATGATCTCGAAATGATTTTTCGATATCAGTTTCTCGATAGCTAGTTTGCGATATTCGATTTCTCAAATTGTGTTTTCGATATACAGGTTCTCGAATCAGCTTCTCGATACTCAGGTTCTCGACAATGAAGTTCTCGAACTTGATTGCTTGGTAGCAAGTTTTCGAACTCTGTTTCTCGAAATCGAGTTTCTCGAACTCATATATCGAAATCCAATTTCTCAATAAGCTTTTCTCGAACCTCAGTTTCTCGAACCCAAGTTTTCGAAGTCTAGTTTTCGATACTCTGTATTTGAGTCTTGATTCTTTGTTAGACATCTGATCAAACACTCGACAGTCAATTCTTGGAGAACGGAATGGACGCTTTGTGACTTGGAAACGAAAGTAGACCCCCGGTCCTAAAAAGGAGTGAGTATCTGATGTGGAAGAATCGTTTTCTGAACTTTCTGGAAATCAAAGACAACTCTTCAGCTATGCTTGAGTTTTTGAACGATGGACTAGCTGTGTTCTGGATAACAGTTGGAGGAGAAGGAAGAAATAACCCCCAATTGAGCAGTTAGAAGATTGAAGACAAAGCTGCTCTGATGTAGATATCCTAAGAGACAAAGCTAATCTGATGTAGATAGGCTAAGAGACAAAGTTGATCATATGACGAAGACGTACCGGCTTCAAGCTATCCCCAACGATATTTATGTTCTGATTGACAGTATGGAAACTGCAAAAGAAATGTGGGATGAGGTGAACAAGCTGATGCAATGAACTAATCTTGGACTGCGGACTAAGAAGGCCCGCATTCTTCTGACTGCTTATGATGCTTTCAAAGCTAAGCTTGGTGAACCGCTCCATGAAGCGTATGACAGATTCATGATGTTGATAAATGACATGAGAAAGATCAAAGTGATCAAATCAAAACATGGAATTGATAAATGAGCATTAGTGTTTGGTTAATTAGCAATAGTCCAATTTTAATGAGTATTAAGCGTCTAATAATGAGCACCGTGTTATTACAAGAAAGCTGATATCACAACTAAAAATGGTGGCATTTTCGTAATTTCAGTGAAAATCGCGGTTTTTCGTTATATGAGCATTTATACGCTTTTAATTAGCATCGGCCGTATTCTGCTGAGTATTAGGAGCCTAACAATAAGCATCGTGATTTCTGGTTCATATCTTCTAATTCACTTTCTTTTTCTTATTTTTCTTTTATAAAAATTTATTAAATTATATCCACAATCGGATCCTACGAACTTCAATATGTGAATCCAATGTTGATGGATTATATGGCCCAGGAACCCCCGGCCCACAGACTCCCACTTCTCCTACACAGGCCCATCAAACCCAACGTGCACACAAAACCCCAATATGGCGGCCCAAGCGTGAAGAGGCCCATGGTACACATATAGGTGCCTTCGGCCCTATGGCCGAGGGCTCCAAAATCTACAGAGCAGCTAGGTTCCAGAATACAAAGTCACTGGGAGAAAAAGACAGAAAATAGGAGCCTTCGGCTAATAGACGCCTTTGGCACATGTGTAGCCTTCGGCTACACAGAGCCTTCGGGCGCAGAAGAGCCTTCGGCAACAGCACAATCAGCGAAGATTCCTTTTGGGGACAGGCAACCACCGCATTAATGCGGCGTCACGTCCAACCACCGCATTTAATGCGGTGCACATGCATATGCCGGTGCCACCCCGATTGAGGTGACCTTCGGCCGTTAGATTATTGACACGTGTATTCATATCACATTTATGACTGCTATAAATAGCAGCCCCTTTTTCCCCCTGTAAACCGATCCCAACATATCGAGTTCATTTAGTGTATTTGACTCTCTCTCCTACTTGTTTGCTCTGACTTCTCTCTAAGTTATTCCCCGCAATAACCCCTCAGATAAGCTACCCCCGGGTAGACTATCCATCAAATGTAATATGGTAGTTTTGAAATATGGATTGATATGACATTTTAAAAATGAGCATAACATGAGTACCGATTGAGCATATGTAACTTACAAAATGAGAATTGATATGAAACTCATAAGTTTTTTGTTGAGTATCATGACAATTTTGTTGAGCATCAAACTTTCTATATTGAGTATTAGAAACATGCAATTGAATATCATGGTTCGTGATACAATATATATAATCAACCCCTACATGAATCTAATGTAATATGATACTTTTGAAATGAACACAACATCAGTACCAAATGAGTCTACATAATTTACCAAATGAACAATTTTGAAATGAACACAAGTACACAACATCAGTACCTAATGAGCCTACATAATTTATCAAATGAACAATGATATAAAAATCATAAGTTTTGTTAGTTGAGCATCAAAACATTATCATTGAACATCAAACATTCTATATTGATTATCATAAACATTCAATTGAGTATATAATCTAACTATTATGTGAATCTATATGATAGTTCTGAAATATGAATTAAAATAGCATTTTAAAATGAGCATACCACAACACTAGATGAACATAAGTAACTTACAAAATGAGCATCGAAAAATATATATATTGAATCATAGATTCGTTACTAACAATTTAATAAACTATCATTATATATAAAATTGAGAGATATAAACGTTTTTTTTA